GCCGCCCTCCCGCCCCCAGCCCTGGCTCTCCAGGTGAGGCTGTGGCCTGCGGGCAGCACCTGCCTGGGTGGGGGCCTCTTTCCTTTGGGACAGCGGCCTCAGTGAGCCGGGACCTGCTACGGCCGCTGCCCTGCCGGCCTCCCGGCGCCCCTCGCTGCTCCTCTGACTCGGCATCCGCCGTCCGTGTGGGGACAGCAGGCCTCACGGACAAACGGTGTCACAGGCAGCTCCAGAGGGCGGTTTCCGGCCCTGAGCCTGGGAGGACCATGGTGCCCTCGCCCCACAAGACGGGCTACGCGGGTGCAGGCGCCCCATCCTCCTGCTTCCTTTGGCTGGGTGACACCCGGCCCGCCCCTGCTCAGCTGGTCTGGGCGTCCAGAAGGCCCCGTCAACCCGGGCCCCCGGGGTGGGCCTAGCACCCCTTCCCCAGAGCCCACCGGGCAAGCACACAGGCACAGGCGCCAGGGAGCTGCCCGGTCGACCTGGATCTCCAGGAAGTTCCTGCGTGGACGGTTCCTAAGGCAGCCAGACTCCAGGCCGGGGCGCAGAGATGCGCGAGTTCCCTGGCAGGAGGGCTGAGCCCCACCCCGTGCCCTCACAGGCCCTACCCGTTGCCGGAGGACCTGGAGGACCTGGTGGGGCGGAGGCACGGCCGCAGCGGTGGGCTGCCTGTCTGCAGAGCCCTGGGTCCCGCCACAGCAAGGAGCCCAGTGGGTGCCCTCGAGGCGTGGGCAGCTGGGCCCCACGTACCTTCCTCCGGGAAATGGAGAACTCCTTCTCACACTGCCTGCAGTGTGTGGCTTCGTTGTCCCTCAGCCACGTGTGCCCCTGAGGAGGAAAGGACGAGTTGCCCTGTCTCAGCCCTGACGGGCAGCTGCTGTGTCCGGCTGGGCCCTCGTCCCTCCTCCCCCCTGAGGAACCTCCCCAAGGTGGCCTCAGCACCCAGCTGGGCTCACACACCCCAGCTCTGCCCTCCTGCCTGCAGGCCACCTGCTGGGCTCACGGCAGAGCCCAGCACATTGCTGACGGGGAACAGAGACCCGATTTCCTCTGGTTCCAGTGCCTGCAGCTCCCGAGCTGACTGGACACACCAGCGAGCTGGCCTTGGGGACGCTATCCCAGGCCTGAGGGTGCCCCCCTGCCAAGCCTGACTCCACGCAGCCCCGAGGCAGAGGGCTCCCTCCCTGACAGCCAGGGGTGGAGGTGACTGCAAGGTCTCGAGGCTGGGGCGGTGACCAGCAGAGCACTGTGCCACAGGCTCCACCCGCGTGCCGGCGGCTGAGTCCCGCTTCGGACCCGTGTCCCTCCTGGGTGCTCTTGGCCACCGTTTATTCTGTGCGAGGTGGTCCTGCGAAGGAGCACTCAGTCCCCAGAGAGGCCAAGCGGATGCCACCCACAAGTCCAGACTGCTGTGGGTGCTGTGACAGTGTGTGGCCTCTGCCTGGGACGCAGGAAGAGCTGGTGGAGGCCTGTGCGCCGCCACCAGGGGCACTGGAGGCTGAAGGAGGCAGTGGCTGCCTGGGTGGGCACAGGGGCGAGGCTGCAGAGTGCCTGTCGCCACAGCTCCCCTCTCTCCCTGCCCAGCACACGCGCTGCTCTGCCAACTTCTGCTCTGCTGTTTTTGAGCCTGAGCCTCACTGTCGCTCATGGCCACTGCAGCCTCGACCTGCGGGCCTCAGGTGATCCTCCCGCCTCAGCCTTCCAAGGAGCTGGAACCACAGGCACACGCTACCACGCCTGGCTAATTGATTGACTGTAGAGATGAGGGCTCGCCGAGTTGCCCGGGCTGGTCTTGAGCCCCTGGGCTCAGGCCATCCTCTCGCCTCGGCCTCCCCAAGTGCTGGGACCTTGGGCGTGCGCCAATGCACCTGGCTGACATTCACCTTTCACCCTAGGCCTCTCCACCTGCCACCTGCTTCCTGCTGCAGGCACCTGCCCTCCAGACCTGCTTTCAGAACGCAGCTGATGCCAGAGAAGGCGGAGGAGGGGCTGGGTCCTGGCTTTGGCCCTGCCCTGGCAGCACTGTGGTCCCAGCCAAGGAACGTTTGTTGTGGGCTTTCTGCAACAGGGACCTGCTCTGTCAGCCAGGCTGGGCAGCAGTGGCACGCTCAGGGATCCCCGTAGCCAGGACCACAGGCATGCATCATCATGCCCGGCCACCTTTGTTTTTTGCAGACAGGGTCTCACTATGTTGCCCAGGCTGGCTTCAAATGCCTGGGCTCAAGTGATCTTCCGGCCTCGGCTCCCAAAGTGCTGGGGTTACAGGCGTGAGCCACCACGCCCGGCACAAGAGCCGGATTGTCATCTGCACCCACATCTGTAGCCAGCACAGCCTCAACTGCACACTCGCCCCAACAGCAATGGGCAGAAGTTCTTGCACTACGATGACGGCCCTACCTTCAGGGCCTGGTTCACTTCTTTTATGTCTTCCATCTTCAGCTTGGATCTAAGGAGAAGAAGCCATTTCATAGTGGTGAGAGGCAGCAGCCGGACGGGCGGGCACAGGACCAGGCGCCCACGTCTTTGCCATCCCTCCGCCTCATCACAGGGCTTCCTGTCTGCCGAGGGCCGAGGCGGGGCGGGCTGCCTGGGGCTCCAGAGCAGGCTGTCGGGCCCGCAAGGGACGCGCGCCCGCCCCTCAAGCCTGGGCAGAGGCTTCTACTCCGCCTGCCCATTGCCGTCCCCCACGGGACCTGCACCCGAGGCCTCTCCGCCACACCCTGCCGCCCCTGTCCAGAAGGGGCAGGCTCCATGGGCGCCGAGTCAGGGTGTCCACACGAGACAAGGCTGCATGTGGTCCAGTGGACAGAAGCAAAACTGAAAATGAAAACACCAAGTAGTTGCATTTGGAGAACAGCCTGGGCACAAGCCGGACTTGGTGGCTCAGTCTGTAATCCTGCATCTTTGGGAGGCTGAGGTGAGTGGACTGCCCGAGTCCGCGGGTTCGAGACCCGCCTGGGCACCGAGACCTCATCTCTACAATAAATCAAAAATCAGCAGGGTATGGTAGTGCATGCCTGTAATTCCGGCTACTCGGAAGGCTGAGGCGGAAGGATTGCCAGAGTCCAGAGGGTCAAGGCTGCGGTGGCCGGGAGTGGCCATTGCACTCCAGTCTGGGCGACAGAGTGAGACTCCAACTCAAAAAAAAAAAAAAGCTGAGCACAGTCTAAGCTGCCATCAGATTGGACTAAAATGTCAAAACGGCTGGTCTCGGGGCTGAACTTCCAAGGGAGAGGTGGGGAGGGGAAGCAGCATTAGGGCATTTAGAAAAACCCGCGGCCTTCACTAATGGTCGGCAGGCGGCCTCACTCCCCGGCGGGGCTGCAGAAATAGGCCGGCAGATGGGGATCAGAGGCTGCCCAGATGGACAGGCCTGGGGCAACCAGGTCAAGATGGCAGCCTGAACACAGGAGCGCATGGGAGGCCGGGTGTCTCCAAGGTAAGTGGGGGCATGCCTGCAGCTCGTGGAGGCCTGAGAACAGGCCTTTCTTCCTGATGGGGGAGCTCCTTGGGGTGTCCGGGCTGTGGCCACCGCTGGCTATACGGGACAGTGGCCAGACAGCACCGGGGGCTGCACGGTGCAAGAACACAGGTGGGCCACGGGCTGACCTCCC